TGCCATTAATGACCCGAAGCCTTTACCCTTGAACCCCTCATCCGAATCCCTATGCCCTGATCCTCCCAAAGCTGCGGTCTAAGTAAACCATCCAAAGCCCTGATGTTTCCTTTGGGTATTGGACCTCCTGAAGAGGCACCCTGTAGTCCCCTTATAGTTTCCAGCGACCCTAGGGATGCTGAGGATGCCCCCATCTTAGGGTTGCCCAGAGTTAGGGTTACCTTGAAAAGGGTTTTAGGGAATACAATTTGTTTATACAAGGGTTAAATCGGCTCTAGGGTTTCCCAGAAGTAAGGGCACCTCTCTGGAGATCCCCATGAGATGGACTGTAGTATTTCACTATTTACGGAAACTACTAGCTGAGCTATAGTGTAAACTCCTAATTAGTATCCCCCTGAGTAATCTCTACAATACTTTGCAAAAAAAAAACCTCTATATAACCCCCCTTAAGGAGTTAAGACTCTAGCTCAGCTTGCAAAACGCTAGCGCAGATCCAGATGCGGCCAGGCAGGTCGCCACTGCGAACCTGGGCCCGCTTTAGCGCTTCTGAAAGTTCGGGCGTCCTATTCAACGGTTTAGGGTTTTGTATTTTTTGGTTCTAGGTTCAGATTTCAAGATCTAAGGTTTATAGAGGATGTGGGGTGCACGGGTGCCACTGAAGGTTTAGGCTTTACGTGTTACGTTTCTTTATTCTTCAAGGCTTTCAGGTCTTTGGGTCTACGATAACCAGTAGCCAGGAAAAAGCCTCCGGATGGTTTTTGGGAACGTTGCTGGGATCATATGGGAAGTTCCCCTGTGACTGAGGGCCAGCATTTTGGGGTATGTTTTGGGGTTGCACATGCGTTTTGTGATTCGTATCACTTCCTCTGAATATCAGGTGCCGCCCCAACCCTCAGTATCAGACATCCTTTTTGAAGAGGCTGTCTACCATGAGGGGCACACATAAAATCAAGTTCCTAGTCTCTCCCTTAATGTCTGTCCCCTATAGTAGTCCCCTATATAGTCCATTGTACAGGCGCTTTTAAGGAGTTCAGATTGTCATTTTGGCTCAGGTAAAGGTGATTGCTACACAGCGCTCCAAAGGAGCATGTTTGTTGAGGCCCCGCTCGTCACTCAAGGCTTTTCTGCAGGCTCTTGAACCGACTCACGATGCACAAAGCTTTCATAATGACTTGAGCATTTCTGCGCAGAGCGTTAGGTAACCAACGCCCGCCATGCCACACTCGGCTTTCAATTGTGAAGTGAGCAGCTTAGGATCCCTGTAGGCTTTTTATCGGGCATCGTTAGGGCATGAAGTCAAACGTTAGCTGCTCTGGACTGGCTTTCGTTGAGCAGGCTGCATTAATTTCCTGTATGCTCCTCCCATGCTTCAGGTGGGGGTTGGACCGTGCCCTTCCTCTGATTTGAAGGGGCAAAGAAGTGCCGTGGCACCCCACATTTTTCAACCTTTCCACCCTTCTTTTGGTTCCATTGTACAATTCCATCGCATGTTGGGCCTCATTGTTCAGAATGCCAAAGCCCAAGCTTTACATACCTCATTATACTATAGTCGTCTCCATTTTCTTTTCCAGTATTCCCGTATACCCTAAACCCTATACCCTAAACCCTAAACCCAGTATCCCTATATTATACCCCTATTAAACCCCACTGTAGTATAACCCATTGCTGCCATGAGTTGCATCTCCCGAAGCCCAGGTACGCCCTCAATTCCTACAGCAGGCTGAATTTTGCTCGATCTAAACACAACCCAGACCTTTACCGCTGGTAAGGTCTACGAAAAAGATCCTCCTTAAAGGTTCCTAGAAACAGCAAGCAGTGGTCTAGTTGGAGGATTTGGGGAGGTTTACTTCTGGAGAAAGCAGGTTTCCCAATGGCACACTGTTTCTACGAAGCCCTGGAAAGCAGGCGCGAAGCCCTTTCCTTGCAGTGCCCCCAAACACGAAAGCCTTTTGCCCTGGACCCTGAACTCCAAGCCTTAACAACCAAAGACGCTCTAGGAATCTGGAACTTTTCCAAATAATGCCTAGGGCCTAGAGAACTTTTAACAAGGACCCGTAGCATCTCTAGGGTCCTTGAATGGCCCCAGGTTCAAGAACCCTTGCGCCACCAGAAGTGGGAAGACCCCTGAACCCTCAACCGCTTTTGCCACCTGATCAGTTCCCAGGCCAACAACAAACTGTGCCACATTATGAGGCAACATTTACAGATACCCACCCAGAAAGCTTTCAAACAGCCCTAAACCCCAAGCCGAAGGCAGGTTTGGGGGTTTCGGGCTTTGGTCTGATGCCCAGATTCTTCAACTAACGTCTAAACATGGTTATCCCGTACACAGCAGCGGTCATCAAGACAACCTTAAAAAACCAGCCTGCTCTTATGGGGCCGCCTCACTTTGATCCTTCCAGATTCCTTCAATTCTAGGGATTCCTTGGGATCTGAGAAGAACATAAGATAACTGATCCCCTAAACCCTAAGCCCCCAAACCATGCTGCAACGGAAGCTGTGCCATAGAGTCTGCTATAGAGTCCACAGACTTCCCAGCTCTTGGAAATTGTTCCCCGAACCATAGACTAGGATGGGTTTGGGGGCCCCTTTTAATTATTCTGGCTTTCTAAGGATTCTACAGGGATTGAGGGCAAGAAAAACAAGAAACATTGAAACTTACGCCTATGAACCCTAGACTCTTTCATCTTACTGGCTCTCCGTAGGAATCTATTTCATAGGGAGTATACTCCCTGATTCCCTACAAGGAACCAGTAAGTTCACCTGCTCCACGAGTGCGGCCCAGCGACTTCATTGTGGGCGCGGGCAGCCAGAAGGACTTTGGAAGCTACGTAGCAGATATGCCCTGGCAGCCTGAATAAACAGTGAATGCAACACGTGCGGCCTGGGCATTCAAGACTTGCTGGTGTCCTCCTAAACACGCATATTATGGTAACCCAAAACCCCGAACCCTAGACTTGCTCGTAGCTGGCAGGAAATGGGGGAGCGGTTCCCTATAGTAATCCCTGTAGCCCATACCTTGGTTCGTCGCAATCAAAGTAGTTTCAAAAATGGTCCTTCAACAGTAAACGCTTGAAGCGCTTTACTTGCCGTGGGCATGGGTGCCGAGTGGCTACGCCCTACCTTTCATGCAACCTGAAGTAGATGAACTTGCGCAAAAATGTGGTAGTTGCTCCAAGTAGGGGAACCCAAATATGCACCCCAATATTGTACACTCCTTACTGTGGGGACCTCAAACGAAGGACCCCTCATTTTGGGAATCCCCCACATATCTTGGGACCCTCATAGAATTTACCTTTGCTGTAAGGGGATTGAGGGCTTACGGACTACCTCAATGAAATTTCTGTGCTTCAACTACCGTTTCACTGCATCGGTACCAACAACAAGAGTACCGTGCTATTCCAAAACGTTTTTAAAGCTCAATATACTTGAGAGGAGAGCCAGGGCAGAGAGCAGATCACAGTTGGAGACCACGAGTAACTAAAACCTACAATCTAAGCCCTATAAACTCTAGGGTCCCTGCATTTATGCTGACAACTGCCGTGACGAGGATCGTGACTTGGCGCCGCAATTGCCTTCCCCATCTCCCTAAACAGCACATTTTAGAGTTTGAAGGGTTTAGCGATTTAGGGAATTAAGGTTAGGGTTTTTGGGGTTTGAGGTTCAGGGTTTGAAATTTAAGGATTAGGGTTCAGGGTTAGTAGCGCCACATGGCTGGTATTCATAGCACTAGCACGTATTTGGACTGGGCTCATTGCTGGTTGCATCAGCACATGTACAGGCGGGAAATGATCTTAAATTCAATTGGTCGAAAAAACAAGTACGTAAGTGTTGAAATGATTTGAGTGCCCAAAAGCATCACGCACTCGCAGCACGAAGAAACAAGCATGAGGGATGTCGCGAGTCCTTTTTGGCACCCGCAGTAGCCAAAGACTAGCAAGAAAACTTGCAGACATCGCCCAGCTAAGAGTTGAACCTTGGGCTTCAGCTGATAAAGAAACCTCTGTACGATGATTGTCGGCTTGACGACTCTCAGTACAGAGCTACATCCCATGCACACAGGTGGGAAAACCATGTCTCTGATGGCACGTGCACTAGAAACCACGCGAAGATGGCAGGGTGCGGCTTAGCCGCCCGTGGCCGTGTCGGCAGATTCTCTGCTCGACGAAACAGGAAACAAGCTTACAAATCAACCCTAAGGATCCAAATAGCCCAAAGTGGGTATTACTGTATTATTTTCAGACTTTAGGAACCAAAGGTAGCGTTTTTTGAACTTGGAGCCCTAGAGGAGGAACTTGACGCGAGCCAGGCTCCACTGTTGAACGGCTACAAACATCCGGGTCTAAGAAGGGGAGAAATGGTAATTCTTGGGCCATTCCACCGTACAGTAACAGTTACCATAGGGGATGTATTATCCGTTTTAGAAAAACACTTTAAGGACAGTTACTGGGATGGAGACTGACCCAAGCTACTTCTCCCCTGGCCCCACATATTACATGCACCCCCACCCCCTATTTCTGAAAATTCTTTACTGTAGCCTATACAAATTGGAAATATCTAGCGTCAGGGGGTGGGAGATTTTTAGAGGAGCGGATTCGTTTCTGGACATGAGAGGGTTCCGACGAACACGTTTTACACATAAGCTGCAGTCTACACTCCTTCATGGGGTTTTACTGGAGAAGGGCGTATGAAGAAAAATGCTAGGAGCTCAAACAAAGTACATGAGTTCCGAAGACCCCAAAATTGAGACCCATTGCTACGTAGACTTAAATGCGATACGACCGGGCAAACTCGGAATCCTGAATAAAACAATTTTTGGGTATATTCCAAATATGCCAATCACAATTCAAGAAGCTTGTTATAGTGCTTGCCCAGCACCCTGCCATTGGGGGCTACATGGACCTTCAAAGGTTTGAGCGTATCCTCAATATTATTGTCCGACTATACTGTAGGACCCCTATACCCTCTCAAGCTCCATCAAGTCCCCATGAACCGGAAGATCAGAACTCCTTAGGAGTGTGCTTGTCTGGTAGCTTTGTTGTTGCCCGTGCTGCAACCAGGCATGCTAATCCAAAAAGCGGCAAGCTCAGATGCACCTGGGCCCAAGCGGCTTTTTCGGATTTAGGGGTGTAGCGGTTTAGGGTTGTGATAAGGTAGGCTCACCCCCGAAAAGGCCGAGCACCGGCAAAGTTCCAAAGGACGGCGACAAGCAGCCACCCAGTCGGGCCATAAGTTCGCCTAGGATCCGACCCTTGTTTGGAGCCAACCCTAAACCGCAAAATCCTCTACCCGAAGGGCTATGAGTCCTAAACCGCAATCCCTTATTCCTAAACCCTGATAATCCCTAAATTCTCAACCCTAATTCCTGAATCCTATAGACCCTAATTTCTAAAACTTAAGGTTCCTAAGCCCTGAACCCCAAGCCCAATTCAGGCTTCAGGGCTTAGGGCTAGAGGAACGCTAAGGGCTTGTTTGATCAGACAAGGACCACTCGCTTGAGCATAGTCACCAACCCCGACTCCCAAACAACATTAAAGCCTGCAAGGCCTCAAAGTTTAGGCCCGCCCGCCCTAAAAACAATTCAAAATAGAAGCCTGAGAACCTCAGCGTTTGTTTTCGGTGGTTTAAGGTTCAAGATTGGAACTTCAACTCGTTGACACTGAGCATTGAAAGCTTTCATGCAAAGTTTTTTGATGATTACCTTGTGACGTAGCCAAATAAAACTCGGTTGTAACGCCTTGGCGTGAAATTGCTTCATTATGAACTACATAACATGGGCCAGGAGCACGTGATTTCTCAACTCCCCTTTTGTAGACAGCGTGAAACAGTTACCTACAGAAGTTTGGCTCTAGAAACTGCGTGGTCTAAATCCTAGCTCAACCAGCAGCTGCGTCTCAGACGGTTTCAGTTCAGCATGTGCTTGAAGCGCAAAAGCCACTACAACAATGCGGGACTGAGTGGGACCTTGAACACGGCACTGTGCAGTGCTTCTTAGTTTGCTGGAAAAGCGCTGGCAGTTCACGAATGTGTCCTGGAAGATTGCAGTCATGCTGTCGGCATTGCTGTTCTCTAACGGGATCCTCAACTCACATTTGGCCACGCGTTGCGTTTGTAAGCGGGATGACGAAGTGAAAGAACCCTGGATCGCGGAACTTGTCAGGAACTGAAAGCTTTGGTAAGCTGCTATCGCTGTGAGCGTCAGATTCTTGGCTTGCTGCCGAACGAGCCTGGTTAGCACAGCGGTTACCCTCCTGAACTTGGAGGTGTTGCTCCCTAACCCAACTATACCACCATCGTAAGCATAAGCCCCATTGCAGTTGTAAAGCCTTTACTCTCGGTAGAGACTACAGGGCGAGATGCTTCGTCGCAAGGCAGGAGATGGAACAGTTGCAAGATGTGTTGTTCTGTCAGTCTGTGTGGCAGGATGCCGGCAACAGACTTACGGTCAGACCCTGCAAGCGGATCTTCAGGTTGAAGGGGCTGGGATGAAGCTGCCGGTTTTGAGGCGTGCAGAGATGTCTCGCAAAAACAAAGTTGCTCAAGCATGGCTGGGCACTCTGGAGGGCGAATAACCTATGTAAACCCGGTCGCCCTTGGCTCTTCCGTAGGACAAAAGGTTACTTGGACATGCGGTTCCGCAAGCCGCTTACAGATAGTGGCTACATTAACTCTATGCACTTTTGGCATGTGGCGCAGTTTCCGTGAATAGCCAGACTCGAATATGGCTATCACCGTAATATTATCCTGCCTATCGCGCACTGGAATCTCAAAGCCGAAAAAACTTGCTAAGTAGCCCGGAGGCTTTCAACTTCAGAAACCATGGCAGTGGCAAGCGAGATCTTTTCCACAACTGAAGACGACTGTTTGCGCGACACCCAGTGGAGCGGGAACAGGCAGTCGCCTGCGCTTGTGGATGATAACGGACATGATGCGAAGTCAGCGTCCGTGTAAACCTCGATCTGACATGCCAAGTCTTGCTGCCACACCGAGCCCTTCACCGTCAGGTGGCTGGAACGGTGGAGATAGGATTTGCAACATAGGAGTTGGCCGTCGTCAAAATTTATCCCATCTGCCAATTTTTGACGCTAACCTCGTCATTACGAACGACACATCTGGGGGTACTAGCTTGCTAAGCCACAAGGCTCGTATTAGTATGCGCGCGGCTGTTTCATGGAGACCACCAGTACTTTCAAGGTCGCTGTCAATTGCCTGGCTTTCCGGGAAAGCTGGTGACAGAACTTTGCGAAGCTTGCTTTTGTCAACACCGGTGATTTCGCTATAGAAATCGATGAGTTGCTGAGTAAGCAATCATATCGAGTTCGCAGGGAGCCACAAAGTCATCGCGAACGAAGCTTTGGTGCCACCCTAAGATTCTACAACCATCCTTGTCCCCTGGACAAAAACCTCAGGTTCGAGTTCACAAGACTGCGGACCTTGTGCCAGAACTGTGCATGGAGCTCGGCGCAGCGACTTAAAGTCAAGTCATCAGCATATACATTGAGGACCAAGTTTTGAGAATCTACATTGAAAACTCATGAGCTTGGGTACGCAGGGCTCCCGCGCCATCCAGCTTCTTTCATTGATCCGTTGATCCTGCCACCGTTTACCGGACTCAGCATGGCCATGGAGACTCTTCTCTAGCTGCACTACTAGACAAGTATCTGGCGAGAAGGACTGGCGCGATGCTGGTAACCACAGTTTGAAGTTTGACGGGAATGATCACCTGTGCTTCACGCCCAACGGGTGCTTCTGAATATGCCTATTGCATCCGGGACCGCAGTGGCATGATCGGGTCGCAACCCATAAAAGAAGCACACAAGCCCTGTTGGGGTCGCGGCGGGTTCTTCGGAACCGAAGAGAACACGTTTCCCGGCTGCGTCCCGAGCTTGGTCGCCGCGGAAAAGGACGCGGCCTTTGTACTTGTCATGGGACGGATCCAGTTCAAAGTGCTTAACCCCACAAAGGGTCAGGAGTTCTGCTATCTGGACCCTCCGCCCAGACTTTCGACACTCCTGCTTGAGCTGCCACAGGGGCCTAACGGACTCATCGTCCCAAGTTGACTTGGAACCTGCATGCCTGTCCTTTCGGAAATCTGTGCTCAGCACACAATGATTTTGTGCTTGCGGAAGCGAAATGTTTCTTTTTGCTTTCGGACCGGGCCTCGACACACACTGTGGAGACATACGATGCAGCTAAGGGCACTATCGAGGAACTGGAGATACAATCTACGTACCTAAGGTCAGATTGTGGATACGATATAGCAGTAAATGCCGTAATCCTACGAGAGAACGATCGCAACATGCCAGCAAATCTGTTCCAAGCAACCTTGATTCTGACCCCACCTCTACATCGGGCCAGGTCCGCAGGGAAGAACTTTTTCAGGATGAATATGCATAGATTGTTGTATAACTCCACAAGGCAGTCACTTACTCGTTCACGGAAAGTAGCATACCCCGCAAGTGTTGGCATACACTGGGGTCAATTGACTTAAAGCAGGATGCCGAAACATGGGAAAGATATGGAAGTGGAATAGAAGGCAAGTGAACACTTTACCCGGGGGTCTGGCTTCAACCGAAGTGGGGAGTACAGCTTAACAGTGCAAGTATGGAAAGGAAGGATGAAGTGCAATAGGGCAGGTCCGCAAAGACCAATGACACTCGATTTCAAGGTCTACCCTACGGGGTGCAATATGAAGGTGCTATGGCGTCAGGAGGCTCTACGCTACGGTTGCCAAAGCAAAGTGCTGAGGCTGTTAACCAGTTATTTTGAGCAGTTTTTGTGTCCTGAGCCAAAAAAGATTTGGTTGTAACGACTTAGCGTGAAAGCGCTTCATGATTATCTGCATAACATGGGTCAGTAGCACGTGATTTCTCAACTTGCACGCAGCACGAAGCTTGAAACTACTTCCGTAAACGTAGATACACCTCAGAACTCAAAAGCCGTGAAGTTGTAGGGTTCAGGATTTAGGGTTTTATGGGCAAAAAGGTTTTACAGGGTTGGTTTTAAGGTTTAGTAGCGCGCATTTGAAACCCTTCTCCACTCTTACCACTGATCAGAAATCTGAAGCACAAACGCCCCTCAATTCCAAGCGTTAAGCCCAACCGCTCAACCCTGCCAGCAACTCTAGGCCCCAAACCTTCACCCCTAAATCATGAACCCTAAACACGCCCAAAATCCTAGAATCTGAAACCTCAGCCCTTATTCCTAAACCCCTTGATCCCTAAACCCTATAAGCCCTAAGGCAGGTAACAGGCGGGAAGTGCAGTCTTCTGACACCATGGCGGGAAGATCTCTGCCAGAGCAACGTAAATGGTCACGAAAACGACTGACCTGCGTTTGGTTTTAGAGTGTAAGGTGTAGGCTGTGGGGAGGGCTTTGGGCTTAGGGTTCAGGAGTCTTGGCTTCTGGGGTTTAGGGTGTATAGTTTTAAGAATTAGGATTCGGGCTTTACAGTTTATGGTGTGGGTCTCAACAGCTAGGGTTCAAGGTTCGGGCGCACGGCTTTACAAACTTTACGGCCTTAGGCTGTCATCTCGTGTTTTCGCCATGACCCAACTCACAACTCCAACCTTTATCGCTAGAACCAACGGGTCCATCCCCATAATTGTGCCAAGTCTTGTCCGCATAGTGACTTCCTTGGCAGCCCCATTTACATCACCAACAAACATATGAAGGCGGCATGCCAGGGCACTTGACGCAGTTAGCCATGGTCATAATGATCCCAGGATTTTCTCGAACGTCGAAGCATTGATGTACACATATACCCTCGACAAGACACAAGGTACTTACTAAAGCGACCCGCAGATGGAGCCCCAACAATCCGAGCATTACTCCTTTCTTAAGTCAGGGGACAAGGCCATTCGAGCCAAGATCGCCATGGTCATCACAAAGATGCTGTCTACCACCCCGGCTGCGCATGCCATCAGGCAGACTCCAGCCACCAAGAAACTCCAGGTTTGTGCTGTGTTTCGACCCAGGGCACTGGCGCGACTAGCAAACATGCAGGCAATGATGTCAGATCCGCTGATGATCATGGCGCTCATGAAGGGGTTGGTCGACAGCGAGTCTGCCGAGTAGCTCAAACCTCAGGATCTGCACAGCAAGAATGTCATATGGGTAGCTCTCAAAATGATGCTTCTGTCGAAAAATCCCCAAGCACTCGAGTGTATATATGTATATATATATATGTGTGTGTAGATACGTATGCAAGCACATAGGGTACAAATATAGATACACAGACATGTAGATGTATGGCGTCAAGGTCGGGTCTAAGGTTAAGTTCAAGACATTAAGTTTGGGAAGGCGATTCCAGTTTCAGTGCCTTGGGGGTACGGTTGAAGAGGTTAGGGTCCAGGGTTCCTACCAAGTTCGGCACAAATCCGGCACGTCATGTGCTATCCAATCGAGAAAGAGGTTCCTTCATCATGTGGTTGGCGCGAGAACGTGATTGCTACAGTAATCCCTCCATAGCACCAACCATACCCTAAAACTCAAGTGGAAACATAAATCCCTGAACCCCAGGCCCTAAACCCCGATCAAATCTGCTTGGCGCCCTGCAATGATGCAATGGAGATTTTGGAAACTTGAGACCGTAAAACAACACACAAACATGAGAATCCTGCATCGAGAGCATAAGATCCCCATTTTAGGGGAATCTTAAAGTGTGGCGGATCCTTCGGATGTGATGGCCCTTTTGATGCCGGGACTGGAAAAACGTTTTAGGGTTTACGGCTCAGAACCACAGACCCTATAAGCCCTATTGCCGCTTCATAGCCCGCTCCGTGCACAAGACAAAAACCCGTGTGGTCAGACCGCATCAGCCACTACAAACGCTCGATGCGCAAGGTTAAGGGCTCCAGGTTCAACATGTAAACAATGCTGCATACACATTTGGGGCTCATTTCTAGCCTCATAGGCATAATTAAATCCTATTTGGTTATAGAAACAGAAAAACAATCGGGATACACGGTAGGAGTAACACCTAAAGGAAATGCCCAACCTCTTTTAAGGGGGTGACTGCATGGGGGCAAGTAGTGGGGGTCTGAAGAATTCCGAAAGTCCAAGCTCGGAAAGGCATGGTAACCCTAAACCCCGTTACGCCCCTAACCTGAAAAGCCTGAAGCAATTACTCCGGGCTAGTCCAGGAGCCATAGTAAGCAAAGACCGTAGCGCTGAAACAGAACGCCAAGTTTATCAGGTCCCCGCGCATGGCACGAGTCATGGCCTGTAAGGGCGTAGGGTATAGGTGTCTAAAGTCAAGGGGCGTAAGGTTTAAATCTTGAGGGTTTGGGTTGGGTCATTTTCCCTTACAGTAACAATTACCACAAGAAATACTAAGCAATAAAATAGCCGCCCTCAAGAATCCATAATGGCCCAAGGTTTAGGGTTGTAAGCTTCAGTGTTTGGAGGTTTGGGACGCAAAAAACATTTTTGCCCTGCAGAGTTCAGGGCTTTCAGGCCTGAGGGTGTTGGCTTTGCAGCTGGGTGGCTGTGTTGTTTACGGCAGTAGGATGTGGGTGGGGCTCTATGGCTTGGATACTGCGCGCGGCTTAACGACACCGTCCAAAAAGATTCTTGCATATGCAGAAGCATGCGATGAGAACAACATCAGAAGCTGAAAACGCGACTGAATGTTTGACACCGGAGACTGAAAACTTAGAAGCCCTGTAAAGCTACAATCCAAAACCCCAGTATCCCCCTTGATAAGCCGTATAATTGGATCTCTATGTAGTCGATAGTATAACCCCCTGTACGGATTTCAGATTTTTTTAGGGTCTCCCACACACGGCAGCCCCAAACTTTCAAAACTGCAGGCTCCGCAGAAGAAAGCTCTGACAATCCATCTCAAGACCTCAACACAAAAAGCTATAAACCCCGCATCTAAGACCCTATGCGCGAAGCCCTACACCCTCTGCCTCCCAGCTCCCCGCCCCCCCGAGATTGAACCCGCCTCTCGAACAGTACAGTTACGGTGTCTCTTTTCTGTATGCGCAAGACTCGAGCACTAAGTCCTAAAACCCTGAGAAACTGCACGCGACAAGTAGGTTGTGGCAACATCTGTGCACATTAGAATGACAGTACTGAGACAAGACTCTTTTTGTTTCAATCAGGCACAAATTTATCTAACGTTCCATAACCGTCCCGTCTGTCGGCTGTTGTTGCCTCTTAGGTGAAACTGAGTGACTCCACAGAAGGAAGTCCTGAGGTTGGCAAGAGCTATGCCCTGGCCTGCTTTTGGAAGAGGCCTGGGGCACGTGCAACCTTGGCATGGGGCTAAGCAATGCCATCCCGCTTTTTGGAAAGAGCCTTGGGTTCAGAGCTCACTTGCAGGCTTCATTTGGCTTTGCGCTTAACCTTGCCTTTTTCTTGGCCCTGGCCCTTCTGACTGCCTTTAGGAAATCCTTTCTGCCAATTCACTTCTTGACGCTGTTTGCGAGCTGCTATTCCGGCAACTTTGTGGCTAGCGGAGTAATGTCTCTGCGATCACGTGCGGTGGTCACGTTTTGATGGAAAGGAAAGGATGGTATGACTGTCTTCATCCCGGGGACCTAATAAGACTGCCTCAATCCCGGCTGTCATGAGGAACTGGTTGACCTTGATGTGATATTCATGTTCGGCAGCTGGATGATTTGCCCACTTATCTAGTGTTTGCCTGTGTCCGCATTCACTAATGCAGGCTACCATACAATCCCTATTAGGGTCTTCAGGGCGATACTTAAGGTCAAAATCCCTCCATGGCTTAGCTGCGGGCCATCACGCGCACGCTGCGCACATGGCTGAGCAGGGCGGGCAGCAACAGCGAGCGGCTGTTGACACACATACGCAGGGTGCACAAAGGAACCAACTGCTGCTGCAGTTGGCCCTACTGGTCTCTGCAAGACCGACCTGAGGTTTTGTCTTGGCAAAAGCACGCAATTCACACGCATGAAGAAGCACACGTCATGTTTGCAAAGGGAGCATACATTTGCCAAGCTTCATCACGGCCTGCACCTTCTGTTGAATATGTGGCGGTATGCCAGACATAGGTTCAAAGGAATACAATCTTGAATCTCAGCCAATCGAAAGCCCTGAGCAACTCCCAGATTCACAAAGTTGGGCAAGGCTGCGTCTGGCTTGCTTTCCAAAACCTTTCTATTTTTCTTCGGGCTCATGGCGCCGCTACGTGGTGGGCTCTCCACTGAGTGAACCTCAATGTGCGACTCAATTGCAGGTCACCTTGCTGGCATGACACAAAGCCGTCTCGGAAGGCCTTTATAAACACCTGCTGAAACAGAGACCTTCATTGGAAGAAGATATATGATTTCCTCCCCTGAATCGGTAGGTGGAAGAATTGCCGCCGCCACCGATAATATCTACCTGATGATGCAAACAATCCGCTGCCATGGAACACAGCATTTCTCCGCACAAGGTCGAACTGTTTCATGCATACTGGTTCTTCAGACGAAGGGAACATATCCTCATCACGCGCATGCCACATCTGCGGATTGTCTGCTTATTGGGGTTATCAGCCTCAAGAAGGCTTTGGATGCCCACCCTGTCCTGGAACAGGCATGCCCTTTCCCAGCTTTCACGATGAGGCTCAATTCCAAACACGCGCACACACACACACACCTCAAAGATGCCATAGGACAAGGGAGACTCCCTGTGCCTTCTTTTCTGTTGAGGTGCCCGCAAAGTGTTTGATGTAAGATCCTGGCCATGGATTTGCGTGGACTGCACAGAGGAGAGATTTGTCTGAACTGGCGGCTACAAGCCAGCTGTTCTTCCTCATTGCTTCCTTGTCCTGTGTTAGGATGGTGCCTCCTTCCTGCAAAATGAGGATGTGTGCCCTTATGTTGCAAAGGAAATGGCGGAACAGGTTGCCACATGTGGGATCACGCTTGTGCTCATCATACGTGGCGCCCCAAAGCGATTTCATGTGCGCTGGCTTTGTTGTTATCTACTGATGGAATGTCTTAATGTGGAGCGTCATCTTCAAAGACAGGTGGCTCATGTTCTGAGGCCTCAGCTTCTTCCATGATCACATCTTCTTATCTAAGGCCGAAAGCTTCAAAGAAGTCCGTCTCACCTGCAAGAGAAGGCCCAGGCGTGCCTTCAACCTCACTGGGTACAGACTCTTCAACGTCCTGGCTCATTTCTTCATCTCCTGGGAACTCCTCAATTTGATCCTCCTCATCGTCAAGGACGTGACGGAGGGATTGTGTTACACAGCCATCCTCAGTGCCCTTATGGGGTCAGTAGGCTCTACGCTATTGTTACCACAGCAACGTGCTGAGGCTGTTAACTAGTTATTTTGAGGATTATCTCGTGACGTACTCATCACAAGCAAGAAACGTGCAACTTTTATGTCTTGAGACAGATAAGATTCGGTTGTAACATCTTGGTGTGGAATTGCTCGTGTTGATCTACATAACATGGGCAAGGAGCACGTGAATTTCTCAACACCACAAATATGTATTGTGGCCTTGACTGCCAGTGCGCTGGCAAAAGTGGTTGACTTCTGCTCTTGAACACGTAGCATCGGTAGCATTAGTACACCTTGAATCTAAGATAACCTTAGTAGGGGAAAATTATGCAACCTGAAAGGCTGCCGGTGAAGCAATCAGCGCTTCACCAGGCTCATCTGGCTCATCTTCCTCTTCAAGGTCGTCTCCAGTCATCCATGGCAGATTGGTAGCCAGATTGAAGTGTGTCTCCAAGAATGTGAGTATGATGGGCTGGGAAGAGCATGTCAGGATCTGCTAGATCATAGCCATGTCCATCAAAGTCACCTACACCTGCTCCAACATCTTCATCATCTGCGTAAATGTTACGCGGGTCGAAATTGGAAATGTTGTGATTATGCCAATCATCAAACGCGGCTGCAACCTCCTCACCAGTGTAAGCTGGAGCATTAGCAAGAGAAGAGGTACCAGGAGTTTGCCCCTGCCTCACTTTTTTTGGTTGTTCAGCTCTAAAGTGTAGGCTGCAGTCATACCAGCAAGAAGGAAGACTTGCTTTTCTGAAAGCATTGATGATGATGGTGAAAACCGCTTCTTGCTTCACTGCTCCAGGTGGGGTCGCTGATACAACAGCCCGTACGCAGAACGTGAGTGGAACATAGTATGTTCACCTTTGGACTATATCCACTTTAAGGTGACAGGGGCCCTTTCTCGCCGTTCCCTCTATCACTTCGCGTGTGGTTACCTCTGTTTAGACAGAGCCTCCCCCCTGGAGAGAGCTCCGCTACCACGTTGAGATTGAACCGATGCGTACCAAACTTCTCCAAGAGTCCAGTTAGGAAGGTAGCAGGGTGTCTCTTTTCTGTATGCGCAAAGCTCGAGGACCAACTCCTTAAAACCTTGAGAAGGGGCACACGACAAGTAGGTTGTGGTAACGTGACTGAGACAAGACTGCTCATGTTGCACTCCCTCCAGCAACATGCCTGAACCCTAAACCCTTAAATCCCTGAACCCTATATAAACCTCAATATTCTATAGCCCCAAACCCCGAACCCTGAACCTCCACCCCCTTCTCTAGCAACATCCCCAAGCATCGCCTCGCACTTGGCTAGTCCGCCGTCATCAGCTGGAAGGTGCGGCTTTAAAAGAGCTCTGGGAAGTGCTGAGACCTGGGAAGAGCAAGAGCCCACCAACTACCCTCAGATCTTTCCTAGATACCTACCATTGACAGCCCTACAATCCTAACTTAAGGAACTCGGGGGGGCTTGGGGGCTTAGGGCATTGGGGGGGGTCTAGGATTTTTAGGCTTAGGGCTCAGGGCTTCAAGATTTCCCTTCGCGTGTACCTGCCCCTTGACACAATGTCGGGGATATAGGGGTTATACTACATGGTTTAGGGCTTGGGGTCAAGGAGTATGGTTTGGGTTTTAGGGGTTTTAGGGCTTAGAGTTTGGTTTTACGGTACATTAAAGGATTCGGTTGTTCAGGAGGTTTGGGGCTTAGGGTTTAGGGTGTGAATTCGCCCCGAAAAGGGTCGCAATATTGCAGGAGACCTCAGGGGAATTTAAAACGAGGGTATAGGGTTTATAGGGTTTGGGCTTCACGGTTCTAACTTACAGGTTTGGGTCTAGGGTTGATTCAGACCTGGCAACAGCTTAGAATTAATGATTTTGTGGTCTTCGAGGCTAATCACGTACGCGGTGGGCATTGAGGGTTTGTCTGTCCCTGAGCCCTTATAAAGCCTATAAACCCTTAACCCTGAGAATTTGGGGTGGCATGGGGCCGCCATTTTCGGATGCGGGCCTCTCGAAATAACCTGCTTTGAGGTACAGGAGTTGGAGCTGAAGGTTTAGGGCAGACTAGTGCTTTTCAGGGTGAAGCCATGATTGTAAGGAATTTGGACAGCGAAACCTTATTGCGCAGTACTTATCTGCACGGGAATGATTTCAGTGTTCGGGGTGAATGGTTAGCAGACACGTCTTGCAAAGTCCGGGATCCCTCAAATACATCCCGGAGGGTTTAAGGCTCAAGATTTAAGATCTGTGTTTATCGTTTAGGGGTTAGGTTCGAGGGCTTACTTGGAGCTCTTCAGGTTTAGGAATTAAGTTCGTGGGCGTCAGGTCTAAGGTTCGCCCACATATCGGGGTTTCCGAAAATTAGGGGTCCAATTTTGGGGGGTCCACATAATGAGGATCATATTATGGGCTCATGTTGGGGAACCCCAATTTTCGGAGACTACCATATGCCCCATTGAACCATTACGTCCCTGAGTGGTTCCACTCCGAACAGAAGTAGTCCAGATGATGCTTCCAACCCAAAGACGTGCCACACGGTTAAGGGTTTTAGGGTCTCGGCTTAAGGGTTTGGGGCTTACAAGCGTTTATGCACCATACGTCAGAAATCCCGAACTGGGCCCTAGACCAGAAACCCCTCCCTTAGCCAAAACAGTCGAAGCCTTGACCGGCCTACCCCAAAACCACAACCGCAAAGCCCAAATCCTGAATGGCTTAAGCTTTAGGGCTTGACATTTCGCCCGCAATTCCTAACTGCTCAACATTTAAACCCTAAACCGGGCTCACCAATTTGACCCCCCCCACCCCGGCCCTGCCCGCCTCGTTCCCAAGATCCGGGAAGCCCAAAAAGAGGCCGAGGATGATGGGAAGGCCGAACCATGTAAGCGACTCGATGCGCCTGGGCTAAGTCTGGGCAAAAGGCCTATGGAGCGTATAATGTTTAATGGGATAAGGAGTAGAGTCCAGGGCGTGAAGTTTAGGGTGTAAGCTGGTGTAAGCTGGTGTAAGGTTTAAGGGGCAGGGGGCGTAGATTTGTTGGCTCGGGGTCTGTTTAGAGTTCACAGTTATTCAAAACCCTGAAGGCTGCTGGGGAGATGTAGGGATTTCTAGGCGGTCAGGATTATACAAGGTACATGAACTCGGCACAGAACTGTCTGTGCAATATTGTAGCCCTGAACCCTAACATGACTGAAAACATGAAACTTATACCAATCAAACATCTGGTCTCCAGTCCGACTGAAGGGTCAGGCTACCACAAAGCACGGCCATAAGAACGGCCACCACCGCATATAGTGCATTCACCAGGGAGCACAGCTGGCTGCCGTAGCTGGGAAAGCAATTTTGCATGTACATGTACTGCACGCCCTGGATATTTAGACACATCCCATGGAGGAGCCTCACCCCACACAAGAGCGTCATGCTCAGTGGGGTGAAGTATGGCAAGGTAATGGCTGCAATCGATACGGCCAGCATGACGATTGCTATCAGGACGAGCACTTGCTTTAGGACAAGCCTCCACATGGGAGATGTGAGAGAAGTCTAGGGTTTAGGGCTTAGGGTCGAGGGTCGAGGGTCGAGGGCCTTGCGCGATGATAGCAATCTGAATTTCATCAGCGCGGTGTCCAGGGGCTATTTGCGACCCCGATGAAAACCTAGGCCCTAGGCAATAATTGTATTTGATCACACTAGTTGTCTCACAACAACGAACTATGACAAGGGGCATGAGGGGACAAAACAACAGAGCGGAGGAACCGTAACAAGACATTCTGCTAACAGGTGCAAACACAACAAGATTATTATTGACATCAGGCAATACACATGCTCACAAGTGGTGACTATGGGCTGTCAAGACCCATACGCGCCAGCAGCCCGCAAAATCCAACCCTAAGCCCTTTGCCCTGAATCCGAGCCAAGAATGCTGACCCCTCCAGTCTCACTCGCCTCTCTCTCTCTCTCTCCCTCCCTCCTTCCCGGCCCTCCACGTTTCGGTCTCTTGGGGTGGGACTTTCGGGGTGTTACGGGTTTGGCGGTTTGAGGACCCCACACTACACCCTTTTTCCGGAGGCACTAGCTTCAGGCGCCAGCCATCCCCAAGCTCCAGGAGGAGCAGCTCGCCACACACACTACACCCTGAACCCTTAACCCTAAACTCCTGAACCCGTCAACCCTCAACCAGTAAACCCTAAAACTCCCGCCCGGAGCTTTGAGCAGTGATTCTAAATTGCACCTCTGCATCAAGGGATGAAGGGCCATAGCCCCGAGCAGCCACCCCACGAAAATCACTGTCTGGCTGATGGTCAGCTCGGCATCACTCAGCTGCAAAGCAGGGTCCTCTCAGGGGTTGGGGATGTAGGGTTTGGGACTGAGACTTATACAGGGTTGAGGTTCAGGGACTCAGTTTGGATGCACGCAGGTCTTAGGTTTTTGGCAGTTTAAGGTGCAGAGGCTATAAGTCGCAATTTCTCCGCGTGCAAGTTTGGGATGGAGCGCCCCGACCCCTTACCCTGCAAGAAAGGTGCTTCACCGGGTAGGCTTGGGCGGGGGGGGCGGGGGGTGTTGGGGGTTTAGGGTGGAATGCGGGATGACTGCTATTATACTATAGTAGTTTCCATTTTCTTTTCCATCGTCCCTATATAATCCCACTATATACCCTAGAATTCCTATCAAACCGGGGACTTGGGGTGGGACGACTGCTTGCCATATTCTCCAACTTTCACTGCCAAAGCATGCAGTACTGATAACAGCTCTCAATTAAGGCGCTCAGCTACGCCAGTGCGGATGCTGTTGCCCTAGGACCCGTATAGCCCAATAGGTATTATCTGTGGACTTTAAGCCCCACATGTGGGCATTACTTATAGACTTGGCCCCCCTGGGGTTAGATACTTAGCCAAGCGGCTAAGAAATGCTTGCTTTCAGCTCCAGCCATCCGAGGCCTCTCTTCCTCTTGCACACTCAAGCCCCAAACGCAAAGGCCTGATCACCCTCTAGACACTTAAGTCACTTAAGTCTACTCATCCCCAAGCTCTAATCCCTACAAAGATTGCTGGGAAAAGATTGGTAAGCCTTAACTCTCAGCCCTAGCCCTAAAGCCCCCGCAATACAAGCCCTTTTAGACCGCCGCACCCAAAACCGCTCTCTTCTAAGGCTCCCAAAACCCAAATACTAGGCAATGATGCCCCAAAGTACCTATGTAGGAACCATGTAGCATGTAGGCAAACCTTACATCCTAAACCCCCATAAGCCCTAGACACCTTAAGCAAACCCAAGCCCCAAAACCCTAAAACTGATCCCAATACTCTCAGCCACTGTCCCGGATGATCTTCCGATCGATCAGGACTGGAAGAGCCTGCCATGGCGCTTGGAAGCTTCCAAAGCCGATCCCGACGCCCAGGATGATCCTCTTGAGTTTGCGAGGAGGAAGATGAAGGGTGGGTTTGTTGGGTTTTGGGGTATTTTGGGGTGTTAGCGTCTGAGGGGCGTGAGGGTTGGGGGGCGTTTGGGTGCTTAAGAGGTCTAGAGGTTAGAGCTTCAGGGCTTTGCAGGGAGGGCCTCCGGCTTAGCGTGAGGTTAAGGTTGAAGGATTTGAGGTTGTTCAGCTTAGGTGGTGTATAGGCCCCTAAATAATCAGAGTGGATTTTGGTTTGTAGTATGTTATGATTGTATGGGGGCTATCTGTAGTCTCCTTAGACCTATGCAGCAATAGGACTTTTAATCATTTCTTAGGGTTCTGCTACAATAAGAACTTTAAATGATTCCTAAGGAGACTACAGATTTGCGGCAAGTACTCCTCAGTTAGGCACCCATAGTAATGGCAGCTGGTCGGTCCTCCAAGCCAAGATGCCCGCAGGGGCCTTTTCCGCGCCTTTCTTCTGGTTTGAGCGGTGCTCCTCCTTGCAGGTGCTGTATCTATTTTTGTAGGTGAATTTGGGGTGTTAGTGGGCGTTAGGGCTTACGGCTTTGGATTTTATGGGGTTTAGGGCTCAGGGTTTAAAGCTTTGTGGTCTGGCATTTCAGGCCTAGGGTTTATGGTGGATTCATTGGAGTTTTCGGGGCTCGGGGTATAGGTTAGGTGCTGCCCGCGGTCCCATTCTAGACTGCTCATGGGCAGATGGATGAGGGCAGTGCCTCAAGCATAGGGTTTTGTTGTCTTGTGGCTCTTGTGAGAATCCATGTGCTGACTTGCTTCGCTCTGAAATTCATTCTCATCTGACAGGTAATGCTAAACCCTAAGCCCAAACTGCACGAGATGAGTCCCAAACACAATATTTTTAAACCTTGCTAGCATCCATCGCAATATACTGGGACAGATAAGGATTTGGGTTTTGGGGTTTGGGGTTAGTGCGTGTGGGGTTTAGAGGAGGGGTGCCACCTGCACATTGTACGCACCAAGTCATGGGTTTTAGTGCCTATGCCAGAATAATCTACACCATAATTGTGAAAACCATGGCCAGTACAAACTGAAGCTTGAAAGCTTGTCCTGTTGTTTCATATTATGGGAAACCAAGGCGGAACCCTTATCAACCTTTTTGAAAGCTCTCCTACTGCATCTTGTCAAACTTCATTTGATTCTGAACCAGCTAATGTCATACTTTCTTGTCAATTACTACGGCGGCCAAAAAAAGAATAATATCATCATACCTCTGACTGACTGGAGACTACGGTGTCCCAACATGACATAACAATTACACATCATTTGCAACTCCAAAGCAAGGCTCCAGGAGGTTGGAGATCTCATCCTCGCTGTCATGCACACCCTTCTTCTTTGCTGCCCGCCGCCTCGTAGGGAACAATAGTCTAAAAGGTATACTTGGCAGTGGTAGCGGGATACCCCTAAGCTCCAGACCCTCTCTCTACCCCGAAGCCCTGTACGAAAACCAAATTCCCTTCTAGAAACCCTAAACCCTAAACTCCAAACCCTAAACCCTAAACTCTAAACCCTAAACCCTATTCCCCAGGCCAGTATGGCCTATACCTAGCACTTCCACACTAGTCCCGATGCAAATTGTGTGCCTCAAGGCAACACCAGCCGCAGCGAATGAAACTGCTGCCAAGATGGCGGCCATAGAAGCCATGTGGTACAGGATTTAGGGCGTCTAACCTGCAATACCCTGAGAAATGCTACAGTACCCGAGCAACTTTTGTTCTTGGAGAATTTCATGCGTGCCCGATATTTTTGGCTTTGCTCTTGAGGTGAATTCTCATGATTTCTAGAACTGTATTGTGCAGTTAGCTGTTTTTCGGAATTCTACGTTCTCGGGAGCTTTGTTCTCTCGACTTTTTTAGGCGATTGATGTTTCCAATCTTTGACCGGGGAAGGTTTTGCTTTTGGAATTGTTTTGCCAAGAACAAAACTCCGGAACATTCGGAAGGTTGATTTTTGGGTGTGGTTTTGTGTTGTCGATAATGCATTGTTTCGGGTCTTTGTTCGAGTTTTTCCGGAAATTGCACTTCAATACATTCAATTATTTCCGCCAATTGTGTTGTTGTTTTATCGGTGAATTGCAATTTTCGTTTGGGACTTGCATGCTTCTTGGTGAGTTTGATGTTCTGTTTGTTTTCGATATTTTTCATGAACTTTTTGTTTGGTGGGTTTTGTTATGCTTAGTAACGTGATGGAGTTCTATCTTTTCGGGAATGTTACTTTTCTGGGCAATGGCTTTCAGATGACTTTTTTCAACCCTTTGTCAGCCCTGGTTGTGCTTTGACATAACATCTGGCTTCGAGCCAAAAAAGAAATTTTCCGGAAAACTTCCCAAACTTTTGTAACTTTGTTTTTTGCCCTCGTTCAACAAAAACACGAACTGAAGCCCCGGAACTTTCAGAACTTGTCTTTTCTGCTTCTTGTTTATTCAGAAAATCGGAAAATGATCAATAGAACTCCACACACAAATCAAGCAAAACATCCAATCTTGTTAAGGGGCATTGTTGTTAAACAATGCATGTATGTCTCCGGTGAAAACCAATAAAATTCCTTTGCTGTTTTGGCTGAAAAACGTGCGTGCGCAAACCTTGGTTTGCAAGTTTTCGTACACGCGTTTTCAACCAAAAAAGCAGAGTAAGTTCATGGGTTTTCATCGGAAACATACGTGCTTTTTTTTCGGAAGAAAGTTCAAAGTCTCATTATTTTGTTTGGTTGTTCTTCTTTTAAAATTTGCTGGAATTCATCAATTGGCGCCCGCATCGGGAGCGTGTGTGTTTTTGAGATGTTGTTGGGGGTGTTCCTTTTTTCTCGGAATGTCTTGTTGTACGTTCGGGGCTTCTACCTCTTTTGTGCAAAGGTCAAGTTCCAAAGCCTCTGGTGTCTTATATTTCTGCTTGCATTCCGACGATAACGAAACAAAAAAGAAGAATCTATTTTTTCAATATGTTTGGGCCCAAGAAAAAGGTTTCCGTTATCATTTTGACAAAACATAAAGCGTTAAACTCTGAAGCTTTTGGAACTTCTTCGTCTTTTTTCGACGAAAACATGACAAAAAAAAGACAATTCTAAGCATTTCGGAACTATTTTGTGTTTCTTCGTTATTCGGAAAATCGAGAATCCAAATACCAAGCTCCAAAACTTGAATGAAATTCACGGGGACGGTGCGTAAGCGTTGCCACTGGGGGAGGGCGCAGCCATGGCAATCACCCTTGAATTAGAGGACGTGAGCACCAAACATTCTCTCAGTTCTTGCGCTGCGTTTGCCAGGGCTGGGGGTTTAAACGGGCGTTCCGAAGAGCCTATGGGCTGAAGAGCCTATGGGCCTATGGGTGTTTTTGAAGCCACCGGATTTGGTGTGAGTTCATGCGACTTTCTTGCTGACGTGTTCAAACATTTTATAGCGCTTGCGTTCGCAGACAATGTTTCTGCAACTGCCCTAGCAGCCCTAGCATTCCTCTTTGTGCTGGAGATGTTTATGGAATTACGCAACTACATTTGGGACATTGCCAGAGGGCAAAGCAAAAATTGCCATGCGCGTTCCTTCTCCGCTTGGGTTGATGTCAAACGTTTAATTTACTTAATGGTTTCTATCGGTTTTGATACGGTTTGGCCCAAGAAGAGGTCTTGGGCCAGCTCTGGGTTTCAAGTTTGGCCCAAGAAGAGCTCTTGGGCTGGATCTGGGTTTCAAGTTTTTGGGTTTCTCGGTTTCGACCCATTTCCAAAGTATCCCAAAGTTCAATTTACTTGAACATCGCTGTGTTACTTGTTTGTCTCCCCGCGGCTCTCCTCTGGCTAGTGGGCTTGCCGCGCAGTGCAAAAAATGCGGAATCGAATCGGAAAGGAACGTGATACCCGTCCGTTCCCTACAAAAACTAGGGGGTTTTGACATCAGCCCAAGCGGAAAAGGAACACAAAGGAATCCTCCAGCTGGAAATCCCCATAGCGGGAACGCATTCCTTTTTCCCCCTGTGGGAGAACAGAATAATCTCCCACAGCAAGTAGAAAGGAATGCCTGTAAGTGGCCTAACACAGCGGTGTTCCAGCAAATTGAACTTTTGGATTTTTTGGAAATGGGTCTATGCACAGGTGCGTAAAGACCTCTGATGCCGCAATGACCTCAGGGTGATGGTGAGGACAAGCAAGGACATCTCGCAGAGCGGCAGTAATCTTGAGGGCTTGTTCAAAGAAACCTCCAGGTGGTGGAAGGCAGAATGGATGGTCTCACAACGCTTTTCTTTTGTCGCTTGACGGAATCTACTCACATTTTAACTACCCTCAACACTAATTACAGGTCTCAAGCTAGTTTGGAAATTGCAGAGCATTGCTCCGATAGAACCCTGAGCAAGGACCGCCAAAAAATCCCCCTATCATCCCTACATGTCTCCCAGAGTATGCTCACTTTGAGCTACCAGGTCTTAATCATGTCTCTATGCGCGTTCTGAAAGACACCCCGCTGGTCTTTAGTTTTTACGGTTTCGAATCGGGGTTCCAGTATGGGCACCACTGTCGGCCATTACTTTAGGGTAGTAGGGGCCCATGGCTTCAACCGCAAGAGCCTCTCCTGAGCCATGTATGAAGACTTAGTATGCCCACCGCGTTACCCCTTCTGGGGACTCGTGCGGCTGAAAAAATGTGTTATCCTCTAAAGCGATGCAGGAGTCAAGCTCTACTGCACTGCTTCGGCGGTCTTTTGCGAGTGCGTTCATTCGTCATCCGACATCTCTTCTTCTTCGTCGTCAGGCTCGGCATCGTCGCCAACGTCCTGCAGTGCTTTTAGTACCCTAAACCCTACACGCAAAACCGCTAACCCAAATCAAAGGTCCCAACCAAGGGTCCCTCATGTTGCCAAGGGTATGTTATATTTAGGTCTATAGGGAGCCCAGGATCAAGGGCCCATACTCAGGTCCGAATAACTCCAACCTTAGGCCAAGCCCAACAACTACACCAAAACCCTACTTGGAGGGTCGGGAGGACTTATT